TAGAGGATTTTGTTTTTCGGAAGAAGAGGGACAATAGAAACTTTTTCTGGTTAAAGGATTCGGCTTGACCGCGCTCTCCAAAAAGTTTCTTCTGATGCTTTTGAAATTATGTGCGGACCTGAGCCCTCAAAATTCCGAAAAAGATTTTTACAAAGCAATTTTCGATCTAAAATCTTTACAAAATTTATTGAGTTCGCAGCAAAAACGATTCATACATTTTTGTAGCCGACGGAAGAACTTTCAAAAGTTACCTTACTTATCGGCCCCTCACTCTCCTCCCTGCGTCTCCGCCGCGGTTTGCCACTGATGAATACATAGCAATAGTACTCCTAGACAAGAATTCGTTCAAAACGAAACCTCGGAAAGGTTTTCAACCAAAATTCTGCCTGACTCTGCTTTTGATACTGGACGTCATTCGCACAGCTGCCATAGAATTTGTACCAGATAAGGATAGATAGCAAACTCCCCCTGAACCGCATGTTTTTGACAATACTGATTGTTGAATCTTAGCAATCAATTACGTATAACATTGATCTACAACTATCTGATTGTGAGTTTCTGCAATTGACTTCTGACTGAACCTGCTCAATGCTTACACGAAAATGCCGCTGTATCAGATCACAAACAGGTACTGCTATCTTTAGAAAAAGCGAAAATCTTTGTTTCAGGCAGCACAACCAACAATTGGCTCTACACTTCTGAAGTATTGAAGTATTACGTGCTTCCGAATCATACCCGAAGCTTTGACGATACACAGCCAAATCAGCCTGTCTATTTCAAGAATGCTTCATTCGGTCCTTGGCAGTTCTGTTGGCTAGATCGTGAGTTTATTGAATTTACCTTAGAAATTGAGGCTACAACATCGATGCAAGTAGTTGAATGTCCAAGATAAAATATTTTAAATTATTCTGCAATTTGTATATACTGAATGTTTGTATTGAGGGACTTATTATTCTGATCTATCTGCTCCCTAACTCCGCTTTCCAACGAAAAATTAGCTTGTGAAGCCCTTCCTACATAATTAAAATAGAATTTCCTTCACTCTCATCTATACCAAGATATATTTGCGGGAAACAATACAACTCAGCTATTTCTATTTGAAATCTTCAGACTCGATATGATCAGATTGAACCCCATCCTCCACGTGAGAAATCGAAAATCTTTCATCAAAAGGGCTTCCAACCTTTTTGTTGAATCAAAGATCATAATTGGCTGCTAATCACCAAGAGCTAATCAAAGCTAACCGTATTCTGCCTAAACTGCAGAAATAGAGTGATTTCAAGCATAATCATTTCTGTGGAAATCTAGATTAAATCAACCGTCCATTCACAGGGATAATAGATGAAAGCAGAAAACAAAAAAGATTTAAAGGCTGATTTTCTATAATGCTGAGCCTATACGGATATTACAAGCGGGACCATACCCAAGCTCTTAGTGACAACTTGAGGATCATTATCGTATCCTTTACCTCGCTCTACTACTTTCAGCTATGACCGCGTTCCATTGCAACAATGTTCAGTACCTCATCGACGAAGATGCAAGCGATGTCACGACCTCTGTGCAACGTAAGTCTCTTGTGCAATTCCCTAGAACAAATACTCCAGAAGCAGGTTATTATTCTTCTTTTGTACTCAGCAAATTTTATAAAGTCTGCTCTTATACTTAAACATCGAATCTCGACACTAGCTGTTCTCCTCATTTCTAGCAACGGAAACTTTTTTTGAATCTAACTAATTTCAGAGCTGAGCCAATTAAACTTCATATTTTTGTTTACTCAAGATCTCCTTTCCAGAAACTATTCGACGAGCTTTTCTTTTTATGATCATTGGCGGGGTGCTGGACATACTCGGTCTCATCAACTCTGCTGTATGCTGCGCTTTGCCACGTCCATACAGTTCGCTATTCACCGCTACCATAATTCACATCAACGCAGGTAAGAATCACTGGAAAAGCTACCTCTCAGCTATATGTAATCAGAACAAGGTAGCACAATCAATTTCTGTGCAATTTCTTCTACTACTCTCGAAGCTTGAGATTTGAATGAGAATAAGTTATTCAAAATCCTTCCTCTAGATTGTCGGTAATGGCCGTA